TTGTTATGGGTGGGGCCACAACATTAGTAACAAAGCAACAGAATTTCTGGAGGATGAGGCCCAGAAATCAGGATTTTAAAAAGATTTCCAGGTGATTCTAATGTGCAGCCAAGATTGAGAACCACTGGTCTAGGGTGAGGTTCAGGCATGAGTACCTAAAGCTCCTCAAGTGACAGTACTGTGTGGCCAGGGTTGACAAAGAACCTCTAATTTCAGCTAAAAGGAAATGTGTAGGTGTGCATATGTTTCTTATCTCTCTAGTTAGATAATAAACTCCTAGAGAGCAAGGACAGTGCCATATGTTTTGGCATCTTTTCCCTCAGAGTTTAATAGAATGTGTGCACTACACAGTGGGTTCTCATAAGTATTTAAACATGAATTCTTTTTTAAAAATATATTTTATTGATTTTTTACAGAGAGGAAGGGAGAGTGATAGAGAGCTAGAAACATCGATGAGAGAGAAACATCGACCAGCTGCCTCCTGCACACCCCCTACTGGGGATGTCTCCGAAACCAAGGTACATGCCCTTGACTGGAATCGAACCCGGGACCATTGAGTCCACTGTATCCACTGAGCCAAACTGGTTAGGGCTAAATATGAATTCTTTTTTTTTAAATTTAATTGATATCTTTTATTTTATTATTTTTTTTATTGTTTTATTGCTTAAAGTATTACAAAGAGTATTACATATGTCTCCTTTTTTCCCCCGCCCTTAACAATCCCCCAGCCTCCTCTACCCACCAGTGTCTTATGTCCATTGGTTATGCTTATATGCATGCATACAAGTCCTTCGGTTGATCTCTTATCCCCGCCCCTTCCCGCCCTTCAACCCTCCCCGGCTTTCCCCCTGTAGTTTGACAGTCTGTTCAAGGCAGCTCTGCCTCTGTATCTATTTTTGTTCATAAGTTTATAATGGTCTTTATTATCCATGAGTGAGTGAGATCATGTGGTGTTTTTCCTTCATTGACTGGCTTATTTCACTTAGCATAATGCTCTCCAGTTCCATCCATGTCGTTGCAAATGGTAAGAGTTCCTTCCTTTTTACAGCAGCATAGTATTCCATCGTGTAGATTTCTAATCCATTCATCTACTGATGGGCACTTAGGCTGTTTCCTGATCTTAGCTATGGTGAATTGTGCTGCTATGAACATAGGGGTGCATATATCCTTTCTGACTGGTGTTTCTGGTTTCTTGGGATATATTCCTAGAAGTGGGATCACAGGGTCAAATGGGAGTTCCATTTTCAGTTTTTTGAGGAAACTCCATACTGTCTTCCATAGTGGCTGCACCAGTCTGCATTCCCACCAGCAGTGTACAAGTGTTCCTTTTTCTCCACATCCTCTCCAGCACTTTGTTGGTGATAGGTAGTCTGACAGGTGTGAGATGGTACCTCATTGTTGTTTTGATTTGCATCTCTCGGACGTTTAGTGACTTGGAGCATGTTTTCATATGTCTCTTGGCTTTCTGAATGTCCTCTTTTGAAAGGTGTCTATTTAGGTCCTTTGCCCATTTTCTGATTGGGTTGTTTTTCTTCCTTTTGTTGAGTTGTATGAGTTCCCTATAAATTTTGGAGATTAGGCCCTTATCAGATATGACATTGGCAAATATGTTTTCCCACGCAGTGGGCTTTCTTGTTGTTTTGTTGATGGTTTCTTTTGCTGTGCAGAAGCTTTTTATTTTGATGTAGTTCCATTTGTTTATTTTCTCTTTAGTTTCCAATGCCCTAGGAGCTGTATTGGTGAAGAAATTGCTTCGGCATATGTCTGAGATTTTGTTGCCTTTGGGTTCTTCTAGTATTTTTATGGTTTCCCGTCTTACATTTAAGTCCTTTATCCATTTTGAGTTTATTTTTGTGTATGGTGTAAGTTGGTGATCTGGTTTCATTTTCTTGCATGTATCCATCCAATTTTCCCAACACCATTTATTGAAGAGACTATCTTGACTCCATTGTATGTTCTTGCCTCCTTTGTCAAATATTAATTGAGCATATTGGTTCAGGCTGATTTCTGGGCTCTCTATTCTATTCCATTGATCTATATGCCTGTTCTTGTGCCAGTACCAGGCAGTTTTGAGAACAGTGGCTTTGTAATACAGCTTGATATCTGGTATTAAGATCCCACCTACTTTGTTCTTTCTCAGGATCGCTGCAGCTATTCAGGGGCTTTTTTTATTCGAGATGAATTTTTGGAGAGTTCGTTCTAGGCCTGTGAAATATGCTGTTGGTATTTTAATGGGAAGTGCGTTGAATTTATAGATTGCTTTGGGTAGTATGGACATTTTAATGATGTTGATTCTACCAATCCAAGAACATGGTATGTTCTTCCATCTGTTTATGTCTTCCTCTATCTCTTTTTTCAATGTCCTGTAGTTTTCTGAGTAGAGGTCGTTTACCTCCTTAGTTAAGTTTATTCCTAGGTATCTTAATTTTTTTGGTGTGATGGTAAATGGGATTTTTTTTTAGTCTCTCTTTCTATAAGTTCACTATTGGTGTATAGAAATGCCATAGATTTCTTGGCGTTAATTTTGTATCCTGTTACATTGCCGAATTCACTTATTAAGTCTAATAGTTTTTTGATGGAGTCTTTAGGGTTTTTTATGTATAATATCATGTCAACTGCAAATAAGGACAGTTTTACTTCTTCTTTTCCAATTTGGATGCCTTTTATTTCTTCTTCTTGTCTAATTGCAATGGCTAATACTTCCAGTACTATATTGAACAGGAGTGGTGAGAGTGGGCACCCCTGTCTTGTTCCTGTTCTTAGGGAAATGGTGTTAGTTTTTGTCCATTGAGTATAATGTTGGCTGTGGGTTTGTCACCTATGGCTTTTATTATGTTGAGGTATGATCCTTCTATTCCCACCTTGCTGAGAGTTTTTATCAAAAATGGGTGTTGGGTAAATATGAATTCTTGAATGATGGACAAGCAGTGTAATCCCTTTAGAAATCTCATCCACCTGAGACAGCAATTACCAGTTTAAACATGCTGCCTGCAGAGGCCCTTTTAGGGACAGATGAGCCAGCTAGAACTGCACAATTCACTCAGTACCATTCTAACCACTTAAAAAATGTCTAGATGTAAAACCTCCCCGATAATTAAAGGTAGAAGGTGTCTAAGGTGGTTTTTCTCTCTTTTCTTTTTCGTTTGTTTGTTTGTCAAGTCTCTGATAAAAAAACAAAAACAAAATAGTCTTATTCTTAGACATATTATTTGTTTCTGTAATTTGCTGGGGATGATTATGTCATTATCTAGTTTTCCTTAGAGAAATCAGACAAGACAGTAGTCACTTGTCTAAACACTTCCAAAAGCATCCTCTGCAATTATCCTCTGATACATCATTATGATTCAAGCACTTGATGGTCTGAGCACTTCATTCTGATAGAGAAGGAAACTAAGAAAATTATGAAAAAATAGAGAGGTAAGCAAGAAGACTATATCTAGAGAGGTTGGAACTAGAGTTTAGATTGAACCTTCCACTACAAGCCTTCTTTACTACATAGCACTGTTGTCTATGGATTGAATCTTTAAAATCAACCTAAAAGAAGCCTAGGGGAGCACTTTGGATTTTAAAAAGTAGCCAACACAACATGGAAAGATTATCCTATATAATAAAAGGCTAATATGCAAATTGACCAAACAGTGGAACGACCAGTCACTATAACACACACTGATCACCAAGGGGCAGATACTCAATGCAGGAGCTGCCCCCTGGTGGTCTGTGCACTCCCACAGGGGGAGCTCTGCTCGGCCAGAAGCCAGGCTCACAGCTGGCGAGCACAGCAGTAGCGGGAGTGCTAAGAATGTCCGACTGCCAGCTTAGGACATCTGAGGGCTCCCAGACTGCAAAAGGATGTAGGCCGGGCTGAGAAACACCTCCACCCCGCAAGTGCATGCATTTCGTGCACCGGGCCTCTAGTGAATCAATAATTTAATTAGGAGACTAGATAGAGCTTCATAATTAAGTGCTTACAATTATTGTAAAAAGTAGATTTCTTTCCTTTCTTTCCTTTTTTCCTTTCTCACTCTCCTCCCCTCCTTCTCTTTCTTCTAATAAACACTAATTGAGCTAAAAAGAAAATCTCACAGTCTTCACACTCCCTCCAAGAGGTCATGACTTCATAGGGCAGGCAGAAATGGCAGCAGCAGCCCTGACAAAGAGTGGGTGTGAGGAGCCCAAAGGGAAGGAGCTTGGAGGAGAGGCTGCACTCCCAGAGGGGAAGGGAAGGGTCATCAATGCACCCAGAACTGGTTCTTAGAGTCTGGAAGGACATGTAAGGTCAGCTCGTCCAGAGCTGCTCATGGGATCCTTAGCCAATCAGTGATTGTGTGACCTTTCTTAAGTATCTGCTATCATTCCATGGCCAAATAGCTCTGACACCCTTAAGACAAGCAACAAAGTCTGTGTCAGTCAGTATCAACCGGACTCCCTAAAGAGGCACAAAATGGACAATTGGGCCAAAGCAAAAACAGTAATTTAGTTGCTCATAAAGCTGAGATGTCTAGGGTATAGGTCTGGCTTCTGGCAAGGCTGGGTGGAGGGATTCAAATGACACCATCAGGAATATTCTGCCCTCTCTCATCTTTGCTTCCCTCAGGCAGGCAAGATAGTCACCTGCAGTTCAAAGATCCTATCAGCTCAGCAACCCAAGAAGAGACAATCTCTCCTGTTAGTCTTGGACAACTCTCATTAGCCCAACTTGAGTCAGGGCTGATCCACAAACAAAGAGAGAAGAAATAATTAAGGAAAACTCCAAGGTTTCAGACTGGAGACACCACAAATTAAGAGATTCCGAAAGAGCACTGGATTTGGAAAACAGAGAAATTGGAAAGGCAGACTTTGGTCTTAGATAAGTCAGAGGTATTGGTGTGACTCTAATGAGGGGTGAGTTGTGAGCTATAAAACATTCTGCAAGTGAAATTTATATTATTAGCACAGGTGTCATGTATGAGATAGGAGAAAACAAGAAACCAGTGACGCTCTCTTGGGTCCTCATTTCCAAGATGACCAAGAAAAGAAGGAATAATGGTAGTGCCAAAAAAGGCCAAGGCCATGTGCAGCCTATTCATTGCACCAACTGTGCCCAGTGCATGCCCAAGGACAAGGTCATTAAGAAGTTTGTCTCTCAAAAGATAGTAGAGGCCGCAACCAGTAGGGACATCTCCGAAGCAAGTGTCTTTGGTGCCTATGTACTTCCCAAGCTGTATGTGAAGCTACATTACTGTGTGAGCTGTGCCATTCACAGCAAGGTAGTCAGGAAGAATTCTCGTGAAGCCTGGAAGGACTGAACACCCTCACCCCGATTTAGACCTGTGGGTACTGCCCCATGACCAAAACCCATGTAAGGAGCTAAGTCCTTAAGGAGTGAAGAAAAGTTCTTGGGGGGGGGGGGGGATAAATGGAAATTGTAATTTTAAAAAAAGAAAGAAAGAAACCAGTGAAGGAGAAAGAGAATGTGTGAGGGAAATGGATCACAAAAATTATAAGTAGTCAGTGTTTTTTCAAGAGATAAAAAACTCTGTTTATATTGGTTTATTTATTTTTTAAATTAAAAAATTAATATTTTGACTCATATAACAGGGTAGTCCAGGTTCAGATGCATTTGGGGTCTCAAAGGCTTTGCAATTTGTTTATTCTTTTATCTTATTCGGCTTTCCTAGGTTGGCTCAGGAACCTTCTTCCTGAGTTCTATTCTATCTTCTCCATAAGGAGGAGCAGTTCTCCCCCCCACACTTCCAATGAAGGAATCTGAGTTCATCTGACAGACTCTGTTTGCTGTAGCTACCATTATTAGCTCATTTTAAAGCTGATCTCTGGAGGCAACAGATGTTTAGATAAGTCAATACCCATCTCTGGAGTTAGGCATTGAGGCATCCAAACCATATGGAATGATAATGAGAGAAAGGTGGTTTCTTAGGGGAAAATGAGGTGCTGTTCACAGAAGAAGGTGAAATGGATACAGCAAGAACATTAACTATCCACTATAGAAACCCAGGGAAGAATGTTAAGTAGGGTGATAGTCAACACTGTCACATGACCCAGAGGTTGATGAGAATGAGATGGGCATGAATGGGCACCTGTGGCTTAGTCATTTGTTTCTTTAAAGATCAGAAAAATGGGAGGAAAACACATTTTAGTGGGTGAAGAGGTGAGTGGGGGTAGAAACACCATAAAGGCAGGGATTTGATATTTTAAAGAAGTCTCTCAGTGTAAGGAAGCAGAGAGAATACTCTAACCCAAATCCTACAATTACTGAATTCTAGGTACTGAGGGCACTGAGATGAATAGTTCACCTCAAAGAAGCTTAAAGTTTGGAAGGGGAAGAGAGAATTGTCAATGAATACTATTCTACAGAGAAGGAATACTTAATGATTTCAAGGTTACATGATGGGAAGATATACCAGTGACAGCCTGATATTAGGTCAGAGCTATCCTACAAGAATGTAATGAGCCCTAGCCGGTTTGGCTCAGTGGATAGAGCATCAGCCTGCGGACTGAAGGGTCCCAGGTTCGGTTCCCATCAAGGGCATGTACCTTGGTTGCGGGCACATCCCCAGTAGGGGGTGTGCAGGAGGCAGCTGATTGATGTTTCTCTCTCATCAATGTTTCTAACTCTCTCTCTCTCCCTTCCTCTCTGTAAAAAATCAATAAAATATATATTTTTTTAAAAAAGAATGTGATGAAATCTACTCAAGGGTACATGGGAAGTGGTGCCTGAGCTGGGTTTTGTGGGATGAATAGGAGTTTGCTTTATGAAGCAAAAGGGGGAAAGAGAGGTAGGCAAAGGCAAACATTCTATAGGAGGCTCATGAGTGCATATTGCTGGTGTATAAAGTGCAGGGGTGCGGAAAGGACAAGTGGAGAAGGGCCTGTGTGATATCCCCAGGGGTTGGGCTTTGTCCTGTGGTATTGGGCAGTAGGCAGTGAAAGATTTTCAGCCAGAGCAAGACATACTAGATTAACATGTTCGAAGGCTCTCTCTGGAGTCAGTCTGAAGAGGGACCTGTGTGGATACAGATGGGCCAGTTCATGGGAAGAAGTGATAGTGTTCAGCACAAAAACAGGGACCGAGAAGAGGGGATTCCTGGAGTGGAAGGTTCATCAGTAGCAGGGAAAACTCATAAAACTGGTGATTGCTGGATAGGGAGAAAGAGGAAGCTCTGAAGGCAGGAGCTGGGGCTCTGGAAGGAGGAAATGAGCCCTGGAGAGGGCGATACCCAGACGGACATGCAGTTGGGGAAATAATAATGGGAGGAGAGGTCCCCGGAGAGGCAGGGAGAGGGGCTACAGACACCGGTGGCAGCTGAGTCAGGCTGAGCACTGTGTGTGTGTGTGTGTGTGTGTGTGTGTGTGTGTGTGTGTGTGTAGCAGGGGAAGGGGGGCGGAAGAGAAGATGGAGGATGAGGATAAGGACCCAAAGCATTATTGAGGAGGGCGAGAACAGTTGGAGAGCTCTAATTTTCTGTTAAGATTGCAGTGAAATCACCTGTTGGGAGTGAGTGGGCCTCAGAGTTCCCTGTGGGGAAAACGGGGTAGTAACAGAACCAATGAATCACTGAGTCATGCCAGCTGCACCCTCACCTGGCCCTCCTGGTGCCATTTGCCTTATCTAGGTCCTCATTAACTCAGCCAGGCTGTGCAGGCCCCGGAAGTGGAGTGCGGTCAGACCTCCATCCCCCAGGAGCTTCTCAGACTTTCACCCACAGGCATCTAATTCGGGAGGCCTGCGGTGAGACCCCGCAGGACCCTTCATATAGGAGGTTCTGAAATGCATCCTAACCACCTGCCCTCCTCCCCTGTCCTCTCAACTCCTCCCCTTCCCCAGCACACACACAGCTGAAGTACAGAGGACTGGGCCCTGGAATTTGCGATGATGTGGGAGAAGATGGGGTGGAATCGTTTGCAGAAACCAGGTGGGTGTCAAATGACTCAGGAAAGGAGGACACGGAGAGCAGGCGGCTGTGCCAGCAGCTCCGGAAAAGCGCGGGGGCTCCTATTCTTACACCCAGGGGATATGCCTCCCCCAACCACACAAGAGTGCAGTGGCCACACAAGAGACCCAAATCTGTAAAAGCTGAGCACAACGGAAGATAACCAGACTTTTCTGACACATTATGGTAATTCTCCTAAAGGCAAGGAATGAAAATGGAGAGAAAAACAAATAATAAGAATTTAAAAAACTATGGATAATAGAAAGGCACTGGGTGATATCTCCAAAAGTTGCAGCAGTTGTGTGAAGCACTGTCCTCTGCTGGTTACAGTGGGACCTGCAGCTTTATGGCAACAGCATCCTTGACTTCTTGACTGCAACCTGGAGAGAGGACAGGTGAGTGAATGGGGCTTCTGAGTAACTGTAGGTCAAGTCAATGACTATCATTAAATACACACCATGGCTCTTCAGATAAAAGCTGAGCCTGAAACTTTAGATTTGCATATTTGCTAGGTAATGATGATCAGGTTAAGACACGAACTATTTAGGAAAAACACTGAAGCCCTAAAAAAGTTTCCTTGGAAAATATTTTGATGTGCATTTAATGGCCACAGTCACCTGGAGATAAGCTGCAGAGGTAGAAATTTTTTCCTGGGATAAAGGAATAAACTTTCAAAAAAAAATATTTGGTAATTCTATGCTGTTAATAATAATGGCCAACGTTTTATTGAACATTTGTCATTATTGGCACCTTGTATGCATTATATCAATTAACTCTCACAACAACCCAATAAAGCAATAAGTATTATCAGGAATAAGGCAATAACTATTATCTAATTTATCTTAGAATCATTGTGCATCCTCCTAGTTAAGGTTGTGCCCACTGCTTTATCACATAGACCAAAAGTATTTATTTCATGCTCATGTAATGGTCCCACGGAGGTGTTTCTTGTGACTGGGTGCCTCTCTTTCTCCCTGTGCTGATTCAGGCACTCAGACTCCTTCTGGCCTATGGCTCTCTATTAACAGGCACTGGTCCTTTTCATACACATCTATCCTGTCAGAAGAAAAGAGCAAGGAGAAAGCACTCCTGCTTCTTAAAAGCTGTGGCTCATGTGCCAATGGCAAGAACTAGACCAGTGATGGCGAACCTTTTGAGCTCGGCGTGTCAGCATTTTGAAAAACCCTAACTTAACTCTGATGCCGTGTCACATATAGAAATTTTTTGATATTTGCAACCATAGTAAAACAAAGACTTATATTTTTTATATTTATTTTATATATTTAAATGCCATTTAACAAAGAAAAATCAACCAAAAAAATGAGTTTGCGTGTCACCTCTGACACACGTGTCATAGGTTTGCCATCACTGAACTAGACCATTGGCCACAGTTAGGGCTAAGGGGGAAGGGAGTATTGTTTCTGTCTGGTCAGTCTGCACCATGGGAGGGGGAGCAAGGATTTCAGTGGTCAATTGGCCATCTCTTCCCTCCCTCTAGTAAGTATGAAGGATGGTTCACTGACTCAGGTCACACCTTTTCAAGGAGGATGAAGGCAGCTGATCACTTCCCCCATTGAGTACCACCTCAAGATCCTGAGGCTGGGTTTTTTTGTTTGTTTGTTTGTTTAATGTATTTATGTATTTATTTATTTATTTTTGTTAATGCTCGCCCGAGGATATTTTCCCATTGGTTTTTATTTTTTTTAAATTTCTTTATTGATTAAGTTATCACATATGTGTCCTTATCCCCACATTACCTCCCCCCCACTCCCTCCACTCATGCCCTTACCCCTCTGTTGTTTGTGTCCACTGGTTAGGCATTGGTCAGACTGTCAAACCTCAGAGGCTGGGGTTTTTGACAATAAAACATTTGTGTGGCACTTTTCTTGCTGACAAAGCACATTCCCGATCTATTATATCATTTAATCCCCATAACTCCTTGTGAGGTGGGTTAATTACCTTTATTTCCCAGGTAAGAAAACCAAGGTTAAGCATCAGGTGACTTGCCCAAATTCCCACAGTTGGGACTCAAGGTATTGTGATTGCCAGATCCTAGAAATAGTGGCAGCTGCTAAGCTTAGGAGGAGCTTGACCAATCAATCAATGAACTTGTATGCATTTATGCATAACCCATGGACACAGACAATAGGTTGGTGAAGGCCTCAGGTGGGGGCAGGGGGGCCAGAAGAGATCAACGGGGGTAAAAAGCAGACATATGTAATACTTTCAACAATAAAGATCTATATATATAAAAGCCTAAGCGACCATCTGACCGTTCAATCATTAGATCGTCAGCTATGACATGCAATGACCAACAGGGGGCAGATACTCAATGCACAAGCATGGAAACATGGAAC